GGTACAGGGGAGCTGGGATATACATTACTGTATACATGTCATCACTATAATGGACTACAGGGGAGGGGGATATACATACTGTATACATGTCATATCACTATAATGGAGTACAGGGGAGCTGGATATACATTACTGTATACGTGTCATATCACTATAATGGGGTACAGGGGAGGGGGATATACATTACTGTATACATGTCATATCACTATAATGGAGTACAGGGGAGCTGGGATATACATTACTGTATACGTGTCATATCACTATAATGGAGTACAGGGGAGGGGGGATATACATTACTGTATACATGTCATATATAATGGGGTACAGGGGAGGGGGGATATACATTACTGTATACACGCCATATCACTATAATGGGGTACAGGGGAGGGGGATATACATTACTGTATACATGTCATATCACTATAATGGAGTACAGGGGAGGGGGGATATACATTACTGTATACACGCCATATCACTATAATGGAGTACAGGGGAGCTGGGATATACATTACTGTGTATACATGTCATATCACTATAATGGAGTACAGGGGAGGGGGGATATACATTACTGTATACATGTCATATCACTATAATGGAGTACAGGGGAGCTGGGATATACATTACTGTATACATGTCATATCACTATAATGGAGTACAGGGGAGCTGGGATATACATACTGTATACATGTCATATCACTATAATGGGGTACAGGGGAGCTGGGATATACATTACTGTATACATGTCATATCACTATAATGGGGTACAGGGGAGCTGGGATATACATTACTGTATACATGTCATATCACTATAATGGGGTACAGGGGAGCTGGGATATACATACTGTATACATGTCATATCACTATAATGGGGTACAGGGGAGGGGGGATATACATTACTGTATACATGTCATATCACTATAATGGAGTACAGGGGAGCTGGGATATACATTACTGTATACATGTCATATCACTATAATGGAGTACAGGGGAGCTGGGATATACATTACTGTATACATGTCATATCACTATAATGGAGTACAGGGGAGCTGGGATATACATTACTGTATACATGTCATATCACTAAAATGGAGTTCAGGGGAGGGGGGATATACATTACTGTATACATGTCATATCACTATAATGGAGTACAGGGGAGCTGGGATATACATTACTGTATACATGTCATATCACTATAATGGGGTACAGGGGAGCTGGGATATACATTACTGTATACATGTCATATCACTATAATGGGGTACAGGGGAGGGGGGATATACATTACTGTATACATGTCATATCACTATAATGGAGTACAGGGGAGCTGGGATATACATTACTGTATACATGTCATATCACTATAATGGAGTACAGGGGAGCTGGGATATACATTACTGTATACATGTCATATCACTATAATGGGGTACAGGGGAGCTGGGATATACATTACTGTATACATGTCATATCACTATAATGGGGTACAGGGGAGCTGGGATATACATTACTGTATACATGTCATATCACTATAATGGAGTACAGGGGAGCTGGGATATACATTACTGTATACATGTCATATCACTATAATGGGGTACAGGGGAGGGGGGATATACATTACTGTATACATGTCATATCACTAAATGGGGTACAGGGGAGCTGGGATATACATTACTGTATACATGTCATATCACTATAATGGGGTACAGGGGAGGGGGGATATACATTACTGTATACATGTCATATCACTATAATGGAGTACAGGGGAGGGGGATATACATTACTGTATACATGTCATATCACTATAATGGAGTACAGGGGAGGGGGATATACATACTGTATACACGCCATATCACTATAATGGAGTACAGGGGAGGGGGATATACATTACTGTATACACGCCATATCACTATAATGAGTACAGGGGAGGGGGATATACATTACTGTATACACGCCATATCACTATAAATGGAGTACAGGGGAGCTGGGATATACATACTGATAATAAGAATAATATCCATTATTCTTATTAGCTGACCTAAGCTAGTCATTGAAAGTCATTTATTTTGTCTGCCATGGATTGAAACAAACCTCTGTGTTTTCTTTTTTTGCTGCACCTACCTGACCCCAGGAATGGAGATCAGAAATCACCCATAAGGCAAAGTCTTGCATGGAGCCCCAGACCGAGGGCGATTGATGGTTATTTTGTATATATTCCTTTTTTGAATAATCGCTCCAACATTTGTCTCCTTCTCACCAAGCTTCTTGCTGATGGTCTTGTAGTCTATTCCAGCCTTGTGCAGGTCTACAATCTTGTCCCTGGCATCCTTTGACAGTTCTTTAGTCTTGCCCATGGTGGTGAGGTTTGAATGGTAGAAATAGATTCTATGGTGGACGGGTGTATTTTATACACATAACGAGTTGTCGTTAGGAGCACCTTCTTAAATTGACAGAACTAATCTGTGTACCACATGAGCAAATAGCCAGTCTGTGGGAGCCAGAATTATTGTTGGTTAGTAGGGGATCAAATACTTATTTTACTCACTGAACTGCAACTCAATTTATAACAGTTGTATCATGGGTTTTTTCTGGATTTGTGGTTGATATTCTGTCTCTATCATTTATAATACACCTATGATAAAAATTATAGATCCTTCATTTTCTTGTAAGTGGGCAAACTTGCAAAATCTGCAGGGGAGCAAATAATTATTTTCCCCACTGTATATCGGGAGGAAGTACTAAAGTCAGTTAGTGATCAGGCAGAGTTGCATAACCTGCAGAACTTGGAACTGACCTATACAATTAATAATGATGAACAGGTGAAAACGGGTGAATGTTCCTTGCAAGTAACAGACCAGTATTAAAACCAGAATGACAATCCTAATTGCAGATTGGCACTAACACACCAGAATCCTGTAATGCGGGCACTGTTCCAGTGCATGGAGCAGAACTTACATTTGTTGCACAGTGTTGGCAGAACACATTTTTTGCATGTGTCTCTGTTGTCATTTCCATAAGACTGACAGATGGTGGGCACATGCCTAGGTGAAGATGGAAGGATGCCAGCATCAGAATGAGCCCCAAGGAAACAGAATTGCTGGCTCTCTTTTTGTTGAGAAAAAAACATTCCCTCTGGGTGATCAATGTACATTTCAGGGATTTTAACACATTTTGTTGCAGATTCCTACCTTTTATTATTCTGAAGAAATAGCTGTTTGTTTGTCTGTGTCCATGTGCAGAGTGAATCTGTATGAAAGTGGTTTATAATTATCAATCAGCTGCTGCACCGGTATGGCTTTAATGAGCAAATTGTCAGGGTCTGCATCCTTTTAGACGTGCTTTCCTTTTGGGAGTTTTCTGACCACATTTGTGTTGCAGGGGATGCCAAAAATCTGACTTAGTACCTTAGTGCAGACTTCTTGTAAAATCAGTAAGCCAATCACACAAGCTGGAAATGACATTTCCAGGGGTCATTCTGTATACCGTCTGTGTACAGATCACCTCCAGGTTTGTCATATTGCATTGTATTTTACAGAAAATTACAGCACTATGTATTGAAAAAGGTAATTTTTGATAACATTCAATTACAATATGACTCACAATTGTATACACTATATTGGTTTTTTTTTTATTTGCTCTTTTTTTTTTCCCTATGAAAGTGCAGTCACCCTTTAAGCTACACCATATCTACCTGCATGCATAGCAGGGCTGTCCTTTTCAGGTGAGTGAGTTGCATTTGGTGGGCAGTACTGCTCACTGATCACATCAGAGGTTATCATTTTTCTTGCATCTCATACATGTGATCACTCGGATAAGGGGGAGGCAGCATATCAGTGTTATTATTGCCCCCCTCCCCCCCCCCCCCCCCCAACCTCAATTGTAAAAGTGACTTTAGATTTTCTTTCCAACACTTGTACTTACTGTACATTTTGAAAAATCATTTGTCAGAACAGGGGTGGACTGACAACTCATGGGGGCCCGCAGGCAATAGGGGATCATGGGGCCCCTGTGTCCTCGCCCACACTCAAACCACACCCAAAAAAGCCTATGAAAGGTACCAGGGGCATCTCATGGGGCCCACACCTGAACCTGGCCCCTCGGGCAGTGCCTGAATGATCAGTCCTTTGGAACATGTTACATGTTCTACCTGTTTTTAGGGTGGAACATGTAACATGTTCCCATAGCTGTAGCCACGCTCCCTCTGACAGATAGTACGGGGAGAAGTTTCCCTGTAGTATCTGTCAGATTTGAAAACAGAGTTGCCATGCGGGGTTGCCCACACGACCGCCGTCACTCATTCACAGAGTGCCTACAAGTCCAGCTAGCCTTGGCGGCTGTCGGCTTGTAGTTTTCAATGAACTACAATGGCACTGTGAAGCCCATGGTAGTTCATTGAACCTTCCTGTCAGTATATCTGCTTGACCGTGCATCCCGTACAGCAAGCAGATATTCTGACAGGTCTGCAGGAGACCTGCATGGCATCAGCAATCTACTGAGGACTGGGGCAATGCTTTCCAGGCTCATATGGCCAAAAATAATAAATGCATTTTTTTTACCTGCAAAAAAAAAGTGTGTTTATTATTTTTGTCCAAAAAGTGAACTTATCCTTTAAGTTTTTATGAAAGTACAAGTAAACTCTAATGAACAACTTTACATTTGTTAAAGCACTCTACAACATAACTATTTTTTTGGTAAAATACTTGTGACAATGCAGGGGCACAGTTGGAAACCAGGGACAGAGGGTTGTCACCCTACAACAGGAAATGCCTGAACAAGGACCTTCATAACAGGATAATTTTAACCACTTGCAGACCACCCACCTGCAATGTACTATGGACAAGTGGCCCGAACAAGTACAGCGATGTACCTGTACGCTTCTAGCACAGGATTGCCCCTTTCCACCTACTCCCGTTCCCATGAATCATTGGCCCGGGACCTGCTGAGCAGCTGTGTCCAATCTCAGCTCAATCACAGCCCAGAGCCCTGTGTTGACTATCATATACATCAGGGCTTGAAATTTCCACTCGCCTGCTCGCCAGTGGCGAGTGGAACTTTTGGTGGGGGCAAGTGTTTCCCCCAGGGCCATCTTACTGAGCAGGCTCGGAGCTCAGGCCGGATCTGTCATTGGCACTGGGAGCCGTCAGACTGCTCAGTAGCTGAGCGCAGTGAAAGCAAAGCAAGGAGTGTGTGCTGTGCTCTCTGCCTCCCCCTAGAGTGCAGTACCCGGCTCTGTGAGTGAACAACAAAGTACTGCAACTTTTTATGGGGGGGTGTTGTGTGTGTGTGTGTACGTGTACATGTGTCTGTGTATGCATGTACATGTGTCTGTGTGTATGTACATGTGTGTATCTGTACATGTGTGTGTTTGTGTGTATGTACGTACATGTGTCTGTGTGTGTACGTACATGTGTCTGTGTATGTACGTACATGTGTCTGTGTATGTATGTACATGTGTCTGTGCGTGTGTTTCTGTGTATGTACATGTATCTGTGTGTATGCATGTCTGTACGTGTCTGTGTGTGTATACATGTGTTTGTATGTGTGTGTGTACATGTGTCTCTGTGCGTGTGTGTACATGTTTCTGTGTGTGTATGTACATGTCTGTGTGTGTGTACAGGTGTCTCTGTTTGTGTGTGTTTGTTGGTGGCGAGTAACTCTTAAGGCCTGGCTAGTAGCTCAGGACTTGAAATTTTAAGCCCTGAATACATAATATACATGTATTGTATTTTTTTTCTACCAAAGACAAGTAGCAGAATGCATTTTGGCCTAAATTTATGAAGAAATTTGATTTGTAATTTTTTTTTTTATTGGACATGTTTTATAGCAGAAAGTAAAAAAAAATATAGTCTTTTTTTCAAAATGTTCAATCTTTGTTTAATTTATATAATAAAACATTTAAAAATCTAGTGATGATCAAATACCACCAAAATAAATCTCTATTTGTGTGGAAAAAAAAATGATATAAATTTCTTTTGGGTACAGCTTTGCATGACAGCACAATTACCAGTTAAAATAGCGCAGTGCCAAATAGCAAAACATGGCCTGGTCATGAAAGGGGGTAAAACCATCCAGAGCTCAAGTGTTTAATTAAAGTGACGGATTTAAAATATTGGCAATTACATCTGAAATTACATTCAGGCTTGATTCACAAAGTAAGCTGCCCATGGCTGCTGGCAGATTCTTGCAGGTGAAGGAACAGCTGCATGCACACAGTGTGTGTGAACAGCAGCAGCATGGATACCTGTACATATAAATTGCCAACACCATCACTGTTTTCATCACTTACAGTTCAATGGGAATAGAGCCTTTGACCAATCATGGACTCAGTTTTCTTCTAGGGATGGCATTTCTGGCACCACACAAACTGGCCACAGCTGATCGGCTAGTTTGACTGTGGCCAAGGCACGGAGTACTGCTGCGTCCAAAGGCGGCATTTAGCAGCCAAGTCATAGAGTATTGCTGGGTCCAGAGTGGAGTTTAGCTGCCTATGAATGCTGCATCCTATCCTCCCTCATGTGCATGCCCAATATGATAAAGCATATAACTGAGAGTAAATCTACTTTACATTTCCGATATCGGACACAGTGTATGATGTTAAAATCTTTCTGGTTGATGAAGAACCCATATGGAAGAAAAATATATTTGAAATAGATTTTAAAAATATTCTTCCAAAATATATTGACATATACAGTATTTGAAATGCTACAATTTTGCCCATATTCAATATATTTCAAAATATATTTCAATAAATATATATATTTTTAAAATATATTCTTCAGATTTTTTTTAACATATAAAAAAGTAATTTTAACACATATTTTTACATATATTTATAAATGCATTCTAAAAATGTAGATTTGTATTTTTAAAAGACATACAGTATATTTGAAAAGTATTTTTAAAAATATTTTTCATATATTTTGTAATAAAAAACGCATTTCAACATACAGTGTGTATATCTCTCTCTCTCTCTCTCTCTCTATATATATATATATATATATATATATTGAAATATATTTTGAAATATATTGAATATGGACAAAATTGTAGCATTTCAAATATATGTCAATATATTTGGGAAGAATATTTCTAAAATATATTTCAAATATATTTTTTCTTCCATGTGGGAAATGTTGTCTGTGCTTTAAGTACCTTGCAATCATGCTCACAGTAAGGGAAAGATCAGTGCAGATGTGTAATGGGGGCAGAGTTTATAACGCTCATCTCGTGTAGTTATAAAAGTGTAACAATAATATCAAACTTGCCTAAATCTCATATACAGGTTATAAAAAGTGACTTAAAAGTGGGACAATATCTCTACTTGTTTTTTTCCCTTGTAGCCTGGATCCTGCAGATACTCAGTAAGCTGTCTGCCCGTACCTCCTACTGTAACCTCTGTGAAAGGTAATAGATACCTGAAAGTGTTTCACTTATACATTACTTAGCATGCATACACTTAAACATATACCCAATGCAGTGACTGACCTCAGGTGAAACACAGCGATGAAACAAATCTTCCTATATAAGTTGTACCTGTTTATCTTTGTCTTCTCTTCTCTACATCCATTCAAAATGTACAGTTTATGCAGCATTTTTGAGCTTCAGGAGGCAAGGGGTGGAGATCTGATGTCACACTGTACAGCTCAGAGAGGAGAGGAGTGCAATCTGAGAACTGAGCAGAAGGAATGGACACACCCTCCTCTACACAGTCTCATAGGGAAACATGCACATCCGAGCCTGTTAATCATTTTCTGTGTGCTGGAGTGGGGCGGGGCCATCTCCTTACATTGCCTGGTGCAAACATAGACTCTCAGAGGTGCCTCAGATAGCAGAAAAAGGAAAGAAGTGACAGACATCACACCTTTGGATAGAGACAAGTACGCACTATAGAAGGATACACTTTGTTTATTTTTACTTCAACCACTTTAAGGTGGATCACCTTAGTGCTAGGTCCACTTATTCAAGGTGCCGCTCCCTAAAAGTACCTGTGGAGAGGGTATAGTTTGATAATATACTTACCTTTCACCATTGTGCTTCCACAGTGCCTACGTGAGGATGAGGTCCGGTGAGATATTAGAGAATGTTGAGTAGCCCAAAGATGATCCTGTGCTGTACTGCAGCGTCTTCTTGTGAGATTTGGAATACTCAGCGTTCCCCATGATCATATTGGCAGTCAAGGAAAGATGAGTATATTGAAGTATTTTTCCCCCCACAGGTACTTGCATGAAGCGTTTTAGGGAGGAGGGGGACACCTTGAATAAGTGGACCTTTCCACTAAGGGGGTAGATGAAAAAAATGTATGGAAAGGGATAACAGAAAAAACAAATTAAAAGCAGGGTTTTCCTCTCTACATAAATGGCGTTCATTACCTTTCAGGCGTTAGATCTCTTTAACAATGCTGTAGAAAACATTTTGTTCTCATCTGCCTGCTCTGCCAATATGCATTGAACTTGTGCTGAGTACAAGGTCAATTCACGAGCACTTAATAATGAGCCCAGAACTTACTTTGAAAAACGAACTTCATTATTATTGTCTTAAAACAAAAAAAAAGAAGACATCTCAGAAGTGAAAGCCAGTTGGTAAGCTGCGCGACGCGCTTTGTGCGACGTTCACAAAGTTATTAAGGCTGACCTTGCAATACTGGGGCAGGAACAGAGTTAGCAGCTGTTGTGCTTGACTGGCAACTTTTTATTAAGAGGTACGAAACTTTCTCGGGGGACAGAGGTCATTAAATTCTTTGAATCTGGAACATGTTTACTTGACTATGCCACACAATACAGCGTATTGACACAGGTATGCGGCAATATCGAAAAATCAGCAATACAGACAAACATTTTATATAAGGGCAGATTAATGTGATATTAAACTGTCAGCTTTATACGCATTTTCAGCAGCTGATTTAATCAGTTATTGAGTATGCAGCTTCTTTATCATTTAATCCTTTCTGTGTTCCAGTTTAAGCTGGTGCCATGATCATTGCCTTATGTTTCTTGTCTCAGGGTGGCTCCTTTCTCTTGCAACATCCTATGGAGCCGCCATCGCATGCATAGGCTAGAGCTGTGTCTCCCTACACTGTGTGCATCCATAGAAACACACAGCCCTAGGATGGCAAGGCACTCTCCTGCTCCTCCCTTCTCATCCCACTTCCCTTCTCCAAACACATTGACGGGCGACTGCACAGTCCACTGTTAACTCTTTCCAGTAAGTTCAGGAAGTTCAGGGAAGCAGCACTAAGACAGCAGGAGCCAGCAGCACTGAAAGTTGTAAACTGCAAATGCTGGGGTGAAACTTAAATAGTTTATTGGGAAATGTTTATTTTATGGTGCTCAGCTAAAAAATGCTGAGGGTTTAACACTGCTCTAAATAGACTTTGTAATTTTGCTAATCCAAGAAAGTTTGAAAATCTCTTACTAGCTCTCCCTGACCCACTTACACTCAGCTTTTTTTCCACCAATATATTTCTTGATCACAGCTACTGCAAGATACCCTTGTCTTCTGGTTATGGGGGAAAAGATAACCTTTTCCCATGTTGCAGTGCTCAGGATTTAATGTGACTTCCATTCAGGGGCGGACTGACCATTCGAGCACTCGGGCACTGCCCGAGGGCCCAGGGTCAGTAGGGGGCCCCATGAGATGCTCCTGATACCTTTCATTGGCTTTTTCATAGGCTTTTTTGGGTGTGGGCAAAGACACAGGGGCCCCATGATCCCCTATTGCCCGAGGGCCCCATGAGTTGTCAGTCCGCCCCTGCTTCCATTCCATGTCACATGTTGCCTGTCAAAAGTGGAGCTCCAGTCTGGAGCCAGACCCCTGTTTGAGCTGCTGCTGTTCATGTTCATCTACCTGTTGCCTTCAAGCCCTACCCCAGAAGCTAGCGGCAGTTTTCCACAGGACCCAGAGGAGGGAGTTTCCATCCCAGGCTGCAAACATCCATCTATCCTTAAAGGGGACCTCTGGCAGGATTAGTTCCTTGATTATCCATTGGGCTGTATACCATCCAGAGGGAGGATATTCCGTACCCGGCTTACCTCATCCATCCTTAAAGAGGACCTCTGGCAGGATTAGTTCCTTGATTATCCAGGAGATATCCGTCGGGCTGTATACCATCCAGAGGGAGGATATTCCGTACCCGGCTTACCTCATCCATCCTTAAAGGGGACCTCTGGCAGGATTATACATATTACATGCATATTTACAATACGCATCTGGTGAGTGCGTATTCTTACCACACCTTTGCGCACATCACTGCATATTGAAGTTACCTTCAGCTCTGATTGTCACCTTAGCATGAACTGTCACTTTATGAACATTTTATCCTTATTTTTATGATATATTTATGTGAATCTATTTTAATGGACATAATCTAATTCTAGTGCTGCACCTTTAGTTCATATATTTCATTGCAACATGGGTGCTGTGCAGGTTGTCTGTTTAAAGACGCAAAAACGTGTCTTACGCCAATGTTTTTGATTTTTTTTTTTAATGTAATGAATGAATTTTTGTGCTTAATATCATATATGTAACAATTATTTTTGATTTCAGAATACTAGTGGCTAGTGTTGTCTTTTCCCTGGTAGAAGCCTGAATGGGCAAAACATGTTGGGAATTTACATCTGTACACCGCTAGATTCATTACTTTATATGTGAT